CTTGACCTTCTGGAGATAAAAATTGATTATTTCATCCTATGGGAAATCTTGTCATGATTAGTGTGAGAGGTGTTTTGTGAGGTCACAGTTAATTCGATCCATTTCATTATAGATCATCCAAAGTCGACTGTCCTTACAAGTCACTGTCATGAGAACGAGATGAAAACACAACTCCTCCCGTCTCAGATGTTACTTCAAAGTGCTTGCAGTGACTGAATTTCGATTATTGTAGTATTAACCATGTGTTACATCTACAGGAGAGGATCCTCTGGTGGATGATCAGACTGATCATGACATCAACTCCGTGGCGGGCGTTCTTAAGCTCTACTTCCGGGGGCTGGAAAACCCGCTGTTCCCTAAAGAGCGCTTCCTCGACCTCATATCCACCACCAGTGAGTCACGTTCCCGGAAAACGTTTTAAATATGTAAGGCCTTTCGTTTAGTGTAGCTGTCCGCTGCTGTTTCACTCATTCATTGTTCATCTCTTCTTTTTTTTTTTCCTAGAGCTTGACTCTGGTGCAGAAAGAGCTCATCACCTCCAGCAGATAGTCGTGACTCTTCAGCGGCCCGTGATCATCGTCATGAGATACTTGTTTGCATTTCTGAATCAGTGAGTCTCGTCACAGCAAATTCAAAGAGCGCATTTTTGCTTTAGTGATACTGACAGCTCCCGTCTTTCCAAGTCTTTCCCAGTACAGCGACGAGAACATGATGGACCCTTACAACCTGGCTATCTGCTTCGGCCCCACGCTGATGCCGATACCAGATGACCAAGATCCCGTGGCCTGCCAAGCACACGTTAACGAGGTCATCAAGACGGTTATCATCCACCATGAGGCCATCTTCCCGACCCAGCGAGAGCTGGAAGGACCTGTGTATGAGAAGTGCATGGCTGGAGGGGAGGATTACTGGTAGGTACAAGGCAAGGTGTTGTATTACAACTTAACATAGGAAAAATGTGCAACCTTTTCCATTCTGTGCCTTTAACTCAATACTGAAATGTCTTCTTTTTAATCTAGAAAGTGCAGTCGAAGTTATTAAACTGGGGGAGAAAATGTCATAATCTTGTAGCCAGACAGACAACCAGAACAACTGTTTTCTATTTAATGCTTGAGTACACTAACAAAATGATTAACACCACCAGATATACTAAGTAACCCCCATTGAAAATGAGCCTACAGCACACTAAGGAATTTCTACCTTTTAGCCAATAAGTTCTTGAAAAGATCTGCTCTACAGACACATTATTTCTCACATTTAATTTGGTTAGAGGTTTAGGTTTCGCCTCCATTTGTTGCATTTACTTTTTGTGACAGTAATGTAGAAACACCAAAACAATATAAAACAAAACAAAAATTGTACAGTCATGACTCGATAATCCGACCCTTAACAATCCAAGACTTTGCTATCTGACAGGTTTTTAGGAAAAACGAACGGAACCCATGAAAAACAGCCTTAACATACTGACAGCCTTGGATTCTGACTCCAACATGACATTTTATGTCATAAATCAGGATAACGGCGTATTATCTGACTGAACAATCCCACAGATTGGCTACGTTCACACTGCAGGACTTGATGCTCAGTTGGGATTTTTTTGTGAAATCCAATTTTTTGCGAGTTTGTTCACATTTCCAATTAAATGCGACTTGCGGAAACAGAAGTGTGAGCGCTAACTAAACTGGCATCAGCAGCCAAGTACTGCCCGTGCGTTCCACCCCGTCGGAGCGCTCCCCGGGGTGGAAGTGTCCCCCGACGGTGCCGAATATTCTGGTATTCATCATTACTTCAGCCTGAATATCCAGAGACCAGAAAGTGCTATTGGGACCAGCCCTACTAGTTGTTATAACAACTATAAAGAATAATTAACAACTAATGAGCCTTCCAGCATCAAGCCCTCCTTGTATCTCGACCTCTGTCTTGACAATCCGACATAAAAGAAGGTTTTACATTTAGTGTCGGATTATCAAGTAACGACTCTATTTGATTTTAATTTCCATAAACATCTTTGTAAATATTAAATATTATTTGGGAGTCTTTTTATTGAGAGCTAAAGATGTAAGTAGAGTACAGGCTTGCTGATTCTCTGCATCCCTGCCTTTGTCTCCGTTCAGCGAAAGCCCCCACAGCGAGCCGGGAGCTCTCGACGAGATTGACAACGGTACCGGACCTAACACAAGTGATGAAGGTGAGTCTTCTAACGCAATCAATCCGCTGTCAGCTCGCTGTCACGATCATTATTTCCTCTGTCAGCTGTACGAGCTGAGAGAGGAAATAATGAGGCTTCCTAAATTGGATTCTGTCACGTTCCTTGTATTGCAGAGTTGGAGCAGATTGAGGCCATAGCGAAATTTGACTATGTGGGCCGAACGCCGAGAGAGCTGTCCTTCAAGAAGGGAGCGTCGCTGCTTCTCTACCTGCGAGCTTCCGAGGACTGGTGGGAAGGCCGACACAACGGCGTGGACGGACTGATCCCGCATCAGTACATCGTGGTGCAAGACATGTGAGTAGGATGAATTTAATCTGTGAAGCACATACAATAAATAACCACAAATATGATTTTGTTTTCTCATGCTGAGCCTATTTTAGTGTAAGACTGCATCAGATCTTTAATCCAATCAAGGAGCCACTACCTTGGTCATTATTTATGTTGCTCTACTTTCCCAAAATGCATGTTTCTATTCTTATGATTCTCACGAGCTGTGTTGTTTTTCCAGAAAGCTCGGCCTCACAAAACCTGTGCCTTGTAAGAGTCAGTGTGGCTCAAATCCTTGCTTTTCTCATTTTCTGTTCTTAGTTGCAGCAGAAACAAAATAAAATACTCTCTGATCCCATGATTTAGAGCTTTAAAAACTTTGGTTACTTCCTAAATTCAGCTCTTTATTTTCTTCTAGAGCCTGTTGCCACATCACACAGCCGTCCTGCATCACTTGGCAGGTCACAAAACTGATTTTTCAGACAAATAGTGGTTTATGTGGTGCCAAAAGTGGCCTCTATGGAGCGATCAGTGATTCATTTTGGCTGTAAAAAATAATCAGACACAATGAAAAATCCCCGTGTGTCGGTCAGGAACGCACAAGGCAGGAGACAGGATGGAGCTTTAACCGTTTAGTCATTGATTCAGTACAGTAGATCCAATTATCACATGTGTCAGAGGCTGATGTTTGGTCAGAAACAATAATAATCAGACAGAGAAAAGAGCAGCCGAAGCTCCCCCTGCTGCTTACATCTTTGAGTAGCCTTTGTGGAATGGATGTGATTATTAAAGATGTTTTCTATAACAGATCTAGTGTTTTATAAGGTTCAGCGAACATTTCCTCAAGACAGAAGCCATTAATCAACACTGTATGTCTGTATCAGGGACGATGCATTCTCAGACAGTATTCAGAGGACTGATAGTGAGACCAGCAGTGGACCGCACCACAATGACAGAACCTCGTTCAGAAACGAGCGTCAGTCTCCTTGTGAACACACATCTGAGAGCCGCTTCGGAGCAGCATTAGGAAGGTGCGGTTTGTCAAAAACTCCCAGTGACACTGTGCAGTTTTCCACAGGGAGGAAATTCATGCTAATTACAAAATCTGCTTTATCACCTTCTCTTAGGGTGAGAGTGCGATCAGATGGAGCTGCGGTCCCTCGCCACAGGAACGGCGCCGACAGTCTGAGCCCCACCAGAGCCGCCGATCAGCCCCCCAGGGTGATGCCTCGGCCCTGCAGCCCACACAAAATGGCTGTTATCAGGGGCCAAACAGACAGTCCGGAGAAACGGCGTCTCACCACATTCGGCAGCGCCGGCTGCATCAACCACCCCGACAGGAAGGCGTTTGTTGACAGCCACTCTCAGCGATCGTCGCCGAGCACCACTCGACACGCGAGTTTAGGAGACCACAAGGCTCTCGAGGCTGAGGCGCTCGCAGAGGTGAGTGCAGTGCAGAGGTGAATACATTTTGAAGGAATTCATTGAAATGCTTTTGACGCTCCGCTGACTTAATTTTAGCTCAGAGTGCAGCTTTGGGTTGGGGTGCTGCAGGAGCATAGGAGCTAAAACCTGGAAACAAAAAGCAGGAAAACATACAGCTCTTGCATCGCTTACACAGAAAAAATACAAATGTTGAGGGGCAGATGTAGCTGCTGTTGATACGGACTTCTTTTTTACATATTCTGTATATTTTATATTTGATTAATAAGCAGAGTCTGCAGTCTCAGGGTCAGGGAGTGGCCTGTGCGTTGGCTAAATTAATGCTAAATAAAGACTAACTACTAAATGTTTTGTGCTCTGCGCTGGGCACCAAAACATAACATAATTAATAAAGTGAATTTTAGAGTCAGGAAAACTGTCGGAGCACTAAACGCACCGGGGCTGCACAATTTTGGGAGTGAGACAATAAAATATGCCCATCAGCAGTGATTGCATTTGCTTTTTCATGGTTATTTAAGTTCAGTTTCTAGACCTCAACATTATTCTTCCCTCTGCTCATGTTTGTCAGGACATAGAGAAAACTATGAACACAGCTCTGCATGAGTTGCGTGAGCTGGAGAGGCAGAATGTGGCCAAACACGCCCCTGATGTTGTCCTGGACACGTTGGAGCCTCTCAAGCACCCTGGTGGAGCCGGGGATCCGTCCGCCAGCCCCCTCCACACCATGGTGATCAGAGATCCGGACGCAGCCCAGCGACGTAGCAGCAGCAGCTCCTCCTCCGAGACCATGACCACTTTCAAGCCCGCTCTATCGGTGCGTCGACCGAGTGCACCTCTACGGCCCCCGCCTGTCAGACCTGTCCGACCGGCCCCTGTGATCGGACAGGGCCAGGGACCGCACCGCTCCAGCAGCTCCAGCTCCTCCGGCCTGGGCAGCCCAGGCATCACGCCCACTGACAGGGTCTTTCCCAAAGCGCCCTCCCCTTCACCATCCACCTCCTCCTCATCCTCAGACAAACAAGGTAACATGTAGCTCCAGTCAGTCACAAGCCAAGCGGTTGCAGAACACTGTGGATGCCGGCTGATTGTGATTATCATCACGCCCCTAAACCTCCTTTTGACAGCAAAACAAACATTGACGCCGGGTCTGTACGATGAATATTTACCACTAATATTGTGTAGTGTAGGATGGCAACTTGTGGTTCCTGCCCACACGAGTTGGGAACAAGTCAGTGTACTGTATTACAACGATACGCAGAAATAGGATTTAAAACTAGGAGAAATATTTTATCGACCATGCTGAATAGTCATGCTGGAACAAAGGGATGCACTGGAAAATACTTCTGTTTACTGAAATATGACAACGAAACATCTCTCATCGAAATGTTATTCGATTATAAAAATGCTGTGAGCTTGTGCCTGGTTTCCTGTTCCATTATGAGGGAACACTTAAGGGAATATTTCACCACTAATCATGTAGACATCCAGTGTCTGCTGGTGGTCCAGATAGTCTATAGTAATTAGAATTCGTTGGGCACCATTTCTATTGACGAGAAGGTTTCCTGTCCCACGGTGTAACAGCACAGTGAATGGTGAAACCAGAGTGGAACTGCCTCAAGCTGTAGCTTCTTATTTTTTCTTTTTTTAATGACCACTAGATGCTGGCTCCGAGGAAGTTGCATTGCATTGGCTTCAGGGTCAAGCCGTGGCAGTTGTGACTGAAAAATCTATGCACAGTGGCTTTGAATGAAATGGAGATGTCTTGGAATGTACGAAGTTTGGCAAAATCATCCAAAAAAATAAAAGTCTGCACAATGATTTCTTTGGCATCGGTCGACCGATAGTTTGCTCCGAACAGCTTAAGTCTGGTGAGTTTGCGACCGTTACAGCGGCGGTATCACGGTAGCAGCGTCTTTGCCTCTCTTTGTTGTCGTCAGCAGTGGACCAGGACTGTTACAAACCCACTGTGATAGTTATATTTGATCAATTCTCTCGGCGTCGGTACTGGGAAGCTGTTTCAAAAGCTACTTCTTAAAAGTCTTGATCTAAACAAACAAGAAATGATGATCTCAGCCAAAACCACATTCCTGTTTCCACATCTATTAGTGTCAGATCGGGGCCAGTGGGTGGCAGAGTAGGACACATTGACGATTGTTGTGACCATTATAGATATGCCATCCATGTAACTAATACAAAGAAATAAAGACGAACATCAGACAAATGTTCTTATAATATTGTCATCTCTCTATATAAAAAAAATAAAAGATTAGCTGTGTTACCTCAAGAAACAAGAAAAACACGCGTACAATTCAAATGACTAATGCACTTATAAACACTACAGGGAACTGTGCTGCATTTGTAGGTTCTGTGTTTTCATTTTGATGAAGTCGTAACTAGAAAAACATGATATAGCACATCGGTATCATCGACGCTTGTCTAGACTCGTCTAGATCGCACACGGTCACCGCAGGCTGTGTGGATGTTTAGCTGAACTTGTTTACTGTTGGTGATATTTGTTGTTTGTCTTATAAGGATGATCAATATATCTTTAAAGTGTAATAGGTACATTGGAATGAATATATACATACTGTTAAAGGATGCTTGTAAAAAATAACATTGTATGATAGGAACCGGATATATTATCATCTCTAGTGTGTAGATTTTTGTAATTCTTATCCTTGCACAGATATTAGCAAAACAATAAAATCAATGAAACCTCACGGAAGCCTTTCTCCTGTCTCGTGACTTTCTGTACAAGACTCGATTGAAAGTGAACAGCGGCCATGTTGTAGCGCACCACGCATTATGTAAATACAGTGACTCTGCTTTTTTCCTTTGTGTTGCTTTTGCGTCATCTAGAAAGTTGAATGAACGTGCTGTATAATCTCAGACTTGTGCCGCTGCAGCAGCTACAGTGGTTTCGCAGCGCCATCTGCTGGTGGCGCCTCCTTTGACAGACTGTTGAACATTTAAAAAGTTCAGAAAATGGCAAAAATAAAAATAAAAAATGCAACATGAGCTTCGAGACCAGCAGAGTGGCATGGATTATTTTTATCAATATGTTGTAAATCGATTATAGATCCACACTTTGGAACAAAAAAAAATCTAATTATTGGTGTTTTTCTTTTCATAGTAATGCTGCTTCCTGCATTACGGCAACACTCACTGGATAAAGCTCTGGAAATGGAGACATAATAGTGCTGTTAATATACTGAGTAGTTCACGTTTTTATTTCCACACAAATACATTCAGTTACCACTTGTGCCCTGAGGATGGAGGCATTGTCATCCTGGAACACTCAAGATTGAAATGGTCCATAGTTATGATGAAACACTGAGAGCTGAATCTAAACCAGGAAGAAACAGCACCTGACAGCATATCACAAGCATAAAGTCCTCATT